ACCGAGCAATCAAAAGGCACATGTCCCAGGGCACACTGCCAGGAAAGCTAAGGCGGGAATGGAGGACCTCTTGGATCACAAGTAGCTTTCTTCCACACCAGGCTGCAGGGGAAAATGGAGCTGCCACAGAGGCAGAGAAGGGCCCCATCTCCCTCACTCCGTGGCACACCCCTAAGGCCTTTTTTATTTATTTATTAAAGATTTCTGTCTCTTCCCCACCGCCACCTCCCATTTCCCTCCCCCTCCCCCAATCAAGTCCCCCTCCCTCATCAGCCCAAAGAGCCATCAGGGTTCCCTGCCCTGTGGGAAGTCCAAGGACGACCCACCTCCATCCAGGTCTATTAAGGTGAGCATCCAAACTGCCTAGGCTCCCACAAAGCCAATACGTGCAGTAGGATCAAAGACCCATTGCCATTGTTCTTGAGTTCTCTAGCCATAAACAAAGGACATTGAGCCTACAATTCGTGATCTTAGAGAAGCTAAATAAGAAGGAGAACCCAAAGAAAAACATATAGGCATCCCCCTAAGGCCTTTTACACAAGCTGTCTGCAGACACCGGCTTGGGTTCAGTGAGGACCGACCAAGAGAATCCTTGCTCCCCCTACTGGTGGCTCATTGCCTCAGTTGATGACAAGCTTTATCTCCCTCCAGATTGCACCTGCAGCTGCTAGAGGAGTGTGGGAGGGGCGCTAGAACTGGTCACGTGAGTGTGAAAATCGGTGCTTGGTTCTAACCTGCCACAACTCACGCATTCTGCAACTGGGAAGTGGGTGACATGACCAGGAGGCAACAGTGTGCAGGCTCAATAAATATTCTTACTGTCAGCCTTATGGGATGGTAAGAAAACTAAGGTACAGACAACTTAAAGCGTGCCCAAAGCTGTTCAGCTTTGGATCAAAGATCCTTTAGGGACCACAATGATCCCCTGTAAGCACAGCACCATCTGCCTGTACACAAACTGTTCTGGTAGCAGGTCTGTGACTTTCATCGGGATTCCCAAGGGACTCAATCACTGCTCAGGTGCGTGATTGAGGGGACGTCTTGGCAGAGGTGCCAACACACAGGTTTCCACGAGAGGGCTGTTCTCCCTTCTATCAGCCTGTAGTACCCTTCACGGAGTGTCTGGCGTGGGTGCAGACTTTACCTTCTGTTCATCTAGAATCCTGTCCTCTGGAGAGCAGGTCAGATATTGTCCAGGTGAGTTGAATATGGGCAAGAGAGCACACACCGGGCTCTGCTCATCTTTGTGTCCAGCCTCCCACAGATAAATAAGGTCCACGCTAAGGGGGCTGGGTGCAAACACAAGCACACTTTTCCCACCCAAGTGTTTCTGGTTCACAGCCTTCCACTCACACAAGTTCACCTCGCCCGTGACGTTGTTCCTGTGGCGAGGTGGTGCATCACGGTAAGAACACAGAGCACAGGAAAATTACATATGTCATGGCCTGGGAGAAAAATGAAATTAGGGAGTGGGCTGGGTAGTTTTACCACTAGGGGCCCCTTGAGAGGTGGTCCACCCTTACCAGGCCCCTTCGGGTAGGGCTACTGTCCAAGCATCTGTGGCTCACAGATCTGACTGAGAGCACCTAGGAGAGAGGTGTGGGTGCAAGAATCAAGGCCAAGAGCTGTGGGACAAGCACGACTTATTGTCCTGTCCTGGACCTAGTTCCCCCAGGGGACTCTGGCTTGACACAGCCTCCTCTGTCCCCGCGGACCTGACTTTTCTCTTTTGTCTGTTTTGTGGTAGCTAATACACCAGGCTGTCATTGCCTTCTTAGCCTGCAGGAAGTGTAACAACTGTTATCTACCACAAGCCGCCGGAGCTTTAAATTACGGCAGGAACGGTGGCAGTGACAGATTAGAATTTTCTCAAAATCAAACCCGAGCATGTCCCTGCTAAGGAAGGGTCTGGGTTTACTTCAAAATAATTTACTTAGAAAATTTTGTGGTCGATGGTAAGTTAAGTCCCAGCAGTACCCCTTCTCCTTTTTTTTTTTCTCCTTCTCCAGCAAAGTATTAGATTACTGAACTGATTCCCAAAGACATCCCTGTAGGACTTACAATTATTATCACTTGGGAGAGATTGGTGTAGCACTGGGGTGCTTCCAGGGACAGCATGGACAATTCACTGGGACCCTTTCAAAGAGACAGAGCCGGAAGAGGGCTTAGCACCACATGGTCTCTTTGCCCCAGCTTTGAAAGACAGATATGAATAGCAAGTAGAAAGTCATCAGCCACAAAAGCTAATGAATTTTAAATAGCTGGTACAAGAAAAATTAATTTGCTAAATTAGTCTTGTAGATACAGGTTAAAAAAATGAGTCGCTGTCACCTCAAAAGCATGAAATGAAGATCAACACAGCTCCGAGTCATCAGCCAGGTGGAGGATCATGTCCATCATGTCCACAGCTCAGCACTACCCCGAGGGGCCAGGGCTGCCCTCTGTCCAACACCTGATGAGCTCATCAGGCATCCCTCAGTGGGTTTCCGTTGTTCTTTCTTTAAAAATCATTTTTTTTGAAATTAAAATAATTACATGATGTCCCCATTCCCTTTCTTCTCTCCAGCCTTTCCCAGGTATGCCCCACTTGCTTTCTTAAATTCATGGTCCCTATTTCTTTGTGTTTGTGTTGTTGTTGTTGTTGCTGCTGTGTGTATGTGCTCCTAAATATATAAATGCTACCTGCTCAGTTCATATAATACTGCTTATATGCATATGACTTTGGGGCTGACCACTTGTGATGGGATAAGCAATTTGGGAGCTCTTTGCTGGAGACTATTTCTCACGCTCTCGTTTTATGGACATCTTTGCCTGCACACCAGGTAAGCACAGCCACAGCCACTCTTCCCAATGCCGTGGTGAGAACTGACCTTAGCACAGTTAGCAGCTCATAGGCTGGTATGCAACAGGAGCTGTACCTGCCTCATGACACTGGCTAGATCATCGCCCCCAAGCACCGAGGGAGTGAGAGGGCTTACCCGACCAAAGTCACACGCCTGCAGGAAAGGGAAATTGGCTGTTCCTGTCTAGCTGAGTTGCCTGCGCATGTGAGCCTGGAAAAAGTCCTGGCTGCAGAGAGACAGGCAGTGCAGATGACAGTAGAGGAGTTACAGAGCATCTGAAAACAGAGTCAGTGGCTTCTAGACCTGCCCAACACTATACCTTTCCTGCAGCCCAGTCCCGGGTACCACAGTGTTTCTGCAGCCCAGCCCCTGGGCTTCTTTTCTTCCACTGGATCTTGCTCAAACTCCTTCTTACCTCCACGAAGCAGGTCAAGGCTCAGTACCTTCTCAGTACTAGCATTTCCTGGCACTAAAATTCTACAGCTGGCCCCAACTCACCATACTGCTGCTAAGAGAAAGCACAGCTGTGCTACTGGCGCAGGTGAGCATCAGGAAAGCACCCGTGGTCTGACCTTACAGGATCACAGGAAACGGGCAGACACAATCCCATAACACATCAAGATCTGGCCAAGCAAACACCTAACAAAAAAGAAAACCTAAAGGCAGGGTATAGTCAGCCTTTCTCAGTTATTCATGTTTTTTAATAATTTATTTTTATTTAATGGTCATTGGTGTTTTGCCTGCATGTATGTCTGTGTGAGGGTGTTAGAAGCCCTGAAACTGGAGCTACAGACAGGTGTGAGCTGCCATGTGGGTGGGGAACTGAACCCAGGTCCTCTGGAAGAGCAGCCAGTGCTCCTAGCTGCCGAGCCATCTCCCCAGTCCCCACAGTTATTTCTTAAGCAGATATAAAATATAAGTTGGGCCAAAAAAAAAAAAACCTATCTGACATGGCCATGGTGGTGAGGAGGTCCAAAGGGAGAAGTAGGAACAAGCCATATTTTATCACAACTGGAATGTTCCAGTTGTCTGACAGAATCGGTCTAGGAAGGAAGCCGTGAGGCATCAACCCTTCTGCCCCATCCTGGATGTCCAGAAGGATACAGACAGCCAGGAACACCAAGCCCTCTGTGATTCTACCTGGATAGCACTGTGGAAAGTCTGCCTGGGGTAGGGGTAGCTCCTTCAGCATAGAATGCCCTGAAGTAGGGGGAATAGGAGGTACTTCCTAAAGCATGGAATGCCCCAGGACCCCATTACACCTCTCTCTCTCTCTCTCTCTCTCTCTCCCCCCCCACCCCCAAACCTTTTCCATGGAGGAAATGTACGATGTCTGAGCTTCATCTTATCCCTAGGAATACAAAGAGCAATGGATGCTTCCTGTGTGGGCCAAGGTCTCTGCCTTGGTCAAAGCCTCTCAAGGTTCAGCCGCCACTTGAATCTGTCCATAATCATAGAACTTGGCAATACTCCTCATTCAAGAAGTAACTGAACTTGGAGAACTCTAACAGCTTTCTGAGGACACTTGGGTGAGGGAGACAAGACCAGACAGGACAGATTTTTCTGCCTCCACTTTGGTCACTGGCCATAAATCTGACACTTGTTTGGAGAGGAGGCTCCCTGGAATATTGGCTGACTCTGCTCTATCAAATGGCCACTGCCAACCAAGGTTTCTGGAGCCTCCCCCTCCCTCACCTTGTGGAGTTGGCTTATGGATAATCCTCCCCACCTATTCTTTGCAGGGACCCTCTCTCTGGATTGAAGTGAACATTTTCTTTGTCCACGGTCCAGTGTGCACTGGGTGACAGGGGTCAGCCTAGCCGCTCTCTCCCAACATAACCCTACAGCAAGTCCATGGCCATCTCACAGGCTACTGCTTCTAACCAACTCACACAAACACAGGGTCCTTTGTTCCTCGGAGACCAGTGAACTCCCCCGTCTCCTCTGTGCCAAGATATTGTTTGTCCTCCTGCTGAAGTATTCACCCACAAGTACTAGAGGGTCCTGCAGGTGAGGTGAGTAGTAACAGGGGTGCCAAAAGAAAGTGCCATTGTCTGTGTCTGCACCCCTGAACACAGCTCCACGGGGAAAAGGGTGCTTGGGTGCAGAAAGTGCAACCCACCCCCTAAGAATGAGAAAAAGGCACAATTTTTTTATTTCCCCACCTCCCTGAATGAGAGGTGAAGAGAGAAAATGTATTTATTTTAAAAAGCAAAAAGAACTCCAAGGTGGGCCCTTGTGATAGAGGAATAGGGTCACTCATTTGTTCCCCGTGCTCCCGCAATGAGGAGGATGGTGCACAGTGGAGAATGCTTGGATGATCCTCCCCATCCGCCCCAGCGGTTCACTCAAAAGACTAAGGCCACTTGCTGTGTGGTGTCTGTCTTCCTTTCACAGACAGCACAGTGGGCCCGGAGGGGAATGAGCACCTAGGGTGAGGGTGGGCAAAGGGCTGGGGTTGTAATCAAAGAAGATGCTGATGGGATGGGAGTCTCTGGGTCCTGAAGCAAGAAAGGAGCAGGACAGGACAGCTGATGTAAAAGTCTTCCAGAAACAGAGGATGCTGGGCCAGGGGTGTGATCCGTGCTGATTGGGAGGATTGGGGTTCTGTATTGCTGGTGATGCACTGGCCTTGATCAAAGGACAGTGGAAAGAATACCATCTGGGCCAGTAGACAAGAAAGGCAAGGACAGCGCCATTCCATGGGCCTGGCAGGTGAGGGGGTCCCCAGTGCCCACAAAGCCAAGGCTGCTGAAGGAGACTAGGTTCCTCTAGAGTTCTGGAGCCGGCTGCTCCCCAACCTGCTCCTCCATGGGAGGAACAGCCTCTTGTACATACACAATGAATTCAGAGGCCTCCCCGCCTTGTGTGTACACGGTCACTGTCTCAATGCCCTCCACATCATCAGAGGACACCACCAGATGGTGCTGCTCAGCGAGCTCCACGGAGGCCTGCTGCACGGTCTCCTGGATCATGACGGTATGGTTGGAACTGGGCTCCTCATCGGTGACCTGGGAGGGAAAGAGAAAGATGGCACAGGTTCAGCAATGACGTCAGGACCACAGAGGTGGCCTGGGAGCTGCATGCTATCCTCTCACCAATGCTGCATGGACTCGTGCCCACTTCATGAAGAGAAGAATGAGATTCCATGACATATAGTGATAAGATCAGGGTCTTTTCCATGTTACAAATGGAAGAATCCACACCCCAAATCCAAACTCCCATCCTGATGTCAAGCAGTCTCCTCTGACCTCCACAAGGTGTGGAGTCACTAAAGCATGGGTGTTACAAGGTGCCATGAGGTTACTGAGTGGATAAGCACCCAGTATAGGGTAGAGGGCTCCTAAAAATATAAAGCTCATCCATTTGATATTGATAAAGTGGCTCGGTTCTTCCTGGCTTCTCTGTCTTTACCACTCTGGGAGTCCCACTTGAATGCTACAGGTCCCAGGGACTGTCCATGAGTATGAATGTCTGGCCATTCTTTGGAGGCCTGCCAGTAGACACATGCTGCCACAGAGTTGGGCAGGGGTGTGGCCAGGGAACACGGACAGAGGAGAGAACCAGCTGGTTCCTACAGCAGGACTTTCTTGGTAGCTCTAAGATGGCAGAGTCCAGGTGATGCTAAGACATCACGTCCCTGACTATCAGCTCTGGGCTGTGTGAAATTTGAAAAAACAACCATATTTAGCCTAAGAAGAGGAACAGAAGACAAATGTAGGAAGAGTTGAGAGCCTAAACTGCAAATAAGGAAAGGACTGCAAAATAGGCAGGGCCGCTGGCCCATAAAGGATGTGGGAGTAGCTATCCTTCCTGAGACCTGAGTGGCAAGGGGATGTGCCCTGCCCTGCACTGAGCAGGTGTGAATGTTACCTCCAGCACTTCTGGAAAGTTTGGGCAAGACCCTCTACAAGCCTTGGCCTACCTTTCAGTGAAAGAGGGAACAGCATGCCCATCTCAAGAGATCGCTGAGGGAATCGCGTGTTGTAGTGTATTATTTTAACTATGTAAAGATGTGTTACATTTGTTTATTCTAAGGAATATTACTCTAACCATGTAAAGGTGTGTTACTTTTGTTTATGCTACATTTGTTTAATGACATAAGGATGTGTTGCATCTGTTTTTATCTTCCCTGCGTAAGGCACCTGATTTTAGTCTAATAAAAAGCTGAACAGCCAATAGCTGGGCAGAGAAAGAATAGGCAGGCTGGCCGGCATAGAATAAACAGGAGGAGAACTATAGGCTCGAACAGAATAAAAGAAGAACAAGAGGAAGAGGAGGACAGAATGAGGGACACACCTCCCAGGGCAAGCAGCCAGGCAGCCGCTAGCCCACCAGCAGACACACGAAGCAATGAAAGTAAGATATATAGAAGAAAGAAAAGTAAAATGCCCCAAGGCAAGAGGCAGATAAAGAGAAACAGGTTAATTTAAGTTAAAAGAGCTAGCCAGAATGTGCTTAAGCTAGGCCAAGCATTCAAATATAATAAGTCTTTGTGTCGTGATTTGGGAGCTGGTTGGTGGCCCAAAAGAAAAAAGCTTGGTACATTTTGACCTTCCAACATGGGGCCATATTTCCACATAGGGCCTGAGAAAACTGGGGGGAAAAGAAGGAAAGAAAAATAAAAACAAAAGACGGATATGACTCCTTTAATAGTCTCTACCATACAGCGAGCCCTTGAGCAGCCAGTCCTTTTAGAAACAAAACGCTAAGTAAAAATGCCAACTTCCTGGAGTTGGCACGGTTGAATGCAGTTCTTGGTCAAACACTCCTCCAGACCAGGCCATGAGCTTATGGCTTGGCTCTCAAAAACCTGAGGAGGGGACGTGTTGGGACCGTTTGGAGTCCTGGCCTCCAGCTGCTCTTCCCTGATAGTGACTTTACTTTCCTTCTGATTTGAGTTACTGAAAGCTGTGTCAAAGTTGTTTACCAGCTCTGCTTCACGAGCACGTGTTGCCTTGCCTTGAGGATCAGAGGATAAGGTTTTCACCTGTTGGCCTACCTGACTGTTGGGTATATAAGCCTCCGTGGTGCTACTGAATAATGGGCTTCTTACCAGTGACTAGAGGTCCGTGTCTCTGTCTCTGTGTGTCTTTGTGTGTTTCAACCTCCAGCCCCTTGCCCAAAGCTTGCGAACTGTATGGTAGCAGACAGGCATTGTGCGCTGCAGGGACGGAGCCAGTCACCAAAACCTCAGCGGAGTACCCAGTGGTAACTTAGCAGTTTAAGAGTTTGGTCATGCAGACAGAAAAGGCAACTGTTTGTAAAGGGGGCAATACCTACTACTGTCTTCTGAATAATCCATCCATCCATCCAAACAACATTTTCTTAGATACCTACTGATCAAAGGTACTGATTGTCTATCATTTGATAAAACTTTTTTTTTTTTTAGTTACCAGTAGACCATAAACTATGGGAAGGTAGGGACAGTGTCTGTCTTGTCACAACTACTTCCCAAAATCCAAGGTCAATGCATAGCGCATAGTAGTGTCCAATGTTTGTTGAATGATGGCCTACTGGGCCCCAGGTGCTGTGATGTGTGCAAAGATAGCAACAAAGGAGATGAGACAGCGGTGGCACAAAATAAATCATGACCACACCACAGATGACTTCTGCATCCCATGAAGGTATAGGGTGGGTTCCAGGAAGATTGGGAAAGGGAAAATGACACCCATGAGTTGAGGGGAACGAGCTAAGGCAGCCACACAGACTCCCACTCACGACACTTCAGACTCTCCTTCTGTCTTGTAACTGGCAGCATGACCGCGGCTTCCTACTCCCTGACCTGCCCATTCATGACTCTCCAGCTTGGAGGGTCTCACCTCAGCCCCTTAATTACTGAAGTTGCATGAGGAGGAACAAGTATGGCAGGTTCAGTTCATGAAGACTCGGGAGGAAAAGACATCTGTGGGAGGAATCTGGGCATTCTGATATTAGATACTGGCAGGAGCCTGGGACTGAAAGAATTTCAAAACTGCAAAGCTATCCTGAGGGAAAACTAGCCCATTTCTTTATTTGTATTTATTCAAATAAACCAAAACATTTATTCCCCTTATTTTACTGTTTATTTCCATTTTTGTTTACCTTGGAAGATGTACCAGGAACCAAGACTGCAGAGGTAAATACTGCCGTCTTTCACTTTGAAAGGCAGTACCTGATGGGAGATTTGGAAAGGGGAGGGAACACGCTACAAATCTTTTCCCTTATCTTGCTGGTAAACAACACAGAAAGGAAGAAGGGACGGGTGATAAACATTAAGGTCCTCAGGACTGAACATATACAAAAATGACAGCATGCTCCAGGTAAGTGTGATAGAACCATGTGACGAGCAGGACGGGAGGGACAGAGTGAGATCAGGTGATATGCAGGGTTATACACAGCAAGGTAGAGTGAAGGCTGGAGAGAGGGGCAGATGAGCTCTTAAGATTTAAGGGCCTTAGCCATCCACTCATAGACTGAGTGTTTATTTCACAAAGCAAGGCAGAGGCTGCTGAAGTCAAGCCTCACCCCATCTAAACATGCTCTCTTACATTCTGAACATTTACATCTATTTTATCTGCTACTTTTTAGAAGGTTAAAGTCCACTTAAGAGAACTCTTTCTCCATTTGTTTATTTTCTTCAGTTTCCAGCCCCAGGCTGGTTTTGTCCAGCAAAACCAGTCCTATATTCATCCGCTGATTCTCAAGCACGGGACATCACATTTGGTTGCATGAAGTCACCAGAAAAGGTGATGGATGACGCTAACCGTGCATTTCACTCAAGTCCTAGCACAGACATTGTTTGGTTAGCATTTGTTGGCTAAAGCTAACATGGGGCTCCTTACTGCCTGCTGGTGCACCTGCTCCCCACACTTAGGAGCTCCATAATGAGCTAGGAGAAAGGAACTGCTTTAAAAAAAAAAAAGGATTTTATGAGCCTTTCTCAGTGTCAAGCATTCTAAGGGTCACCTGATCCATTGGCTTTTCTGCCATGTCTGCGAGCCATGCACCTCTTGACTTGCTCCCAAAGAAGTTAACAGGTGTCTGCAGTTTACTGAATACTCTCCCAAGCTCCACCCTGATGGCTCATACACAGTATTTGTTCCCTCTTCACAAGTGGGATCATGAAGCTCCTAGGGGTCCAGCTGGGCAGTTCACAGGTAGCAAAAGCTGGGCCTAATCCATATGAATGAGTCTTGAGCTCTTTCTTCCTTGGCTGGTGCAGTATGGCAGTGACTAAGGGTATCACATGTCACAGACTGATAGAATTATTGTTCCTTAGCCATGCGAGGCAGACAGAGGTTGGCTGTACAGCTCTAACCATTCTCTTTGTTCAAAATGATCACTCCAGCAGCTTAATCTATTAGCACAGGCTTAAAATTGTTCACCGCAGCAGAAATAACATGGTTTTCACAGTGTCATTACCCCCTGAGATGGATACTCCATTTTCCGCAAATGCTGTATCTAACATATCTTGCAGCTAAATTATTAGCAGCATAGATAGCTTAATAGAAAACCTTAGCCCACGGGACTCCACAGATTGCTAAGTCAGGTCCTGTGTTCTGTTGTAAGTGTTCTAGGCTCAGGAATGAAGCCAGCTAATGACCCACACTTGGCAGTTCTATTGATGCTGGAGAGCAGCTTCCCTGTCTCTTTACCTTCATCTCATGGTCCACTCTGCAGCATGGATGGGGATTTTATAGGATGCCATGTCATCACCTTTCCCATCACCTCACTGTCTATTTCTGTATTCCTCACTCATCTGTCCTTCCTTTTCCCCCTTCTTCAGCTCCTTTCCCCACTTTTCAACCCATTCCCACAAGTTTACATGTTTTTAAGAAAAGTCCTAGAAATCTCTCTTGCTCACAGGTCCTCAAGGAAGAAGCAGCCTGAATCACTCACTCAGGCCTCTGTGGCCCTGAATGGGTTTTGTGTTATAATCCACCTCCAAGTTCTCCCTGTAGACCTGTAGCATCTGGTGAGCACGTGATCCTTGCTGTGCAGATCATGGCTTAAATAAACAGCATTTGTT